ATCTCGCCAAAAAGCGACTTCAGCGAGCAGGACATGGTGTACAGGAACATTTCCGATGGAAGGCGCTCTTGAACATTGCTTGCAATTGGAGATTTTGGGCTTTACTCCTGCTGGATATTTTCTTCTGGAACGGAAGCGTCAACACCACTACAGGAGGGTATCTTCTCTGGCTGAAAAGTCTCAAGAAATTCTCGACCAGTCGCATCAACGAGCTCAACGCGATTTCTCCAGCATTGGGGATCTTCTACACGCTCTTCATCTGTTTCTCATCGGATCTTTTGTTCGGCCCTGCCTGGGCTATCACCATTGCACACACTTGGAACATCATCGGGCTGGTGATACTCGTCGTATGGGATGTCCCCCAGTCCGCGCTCTGGTTCGCATTTGCCACAACCTATTCTGCCGTCGCTATGTCCAGTGTGCTCTACGGCTGGGTTAACAGTCAACTGCGCTACTCGCCTGTTGAACGAGCGGTGGCACTGATCATTTTGAATGCCGTCTCGCAATCAACGACCGCGTGGACGCCCTTGCTAGTCTTCAAGACTGTCGAGGCTCCTCGATTCACTAAAGGGTACTCGTTCGTACTCGGTAACGCCATATGCTTAATTATACTGGCTCATGCCATTCAGTTCTTCACCCGACGAGAGGAGTATGCACTCTGTCCCACTTTCCTTGATTACTTCTAATAGCCTACAGGAGAAACCTGAAAAGAGCGGAAGGTAACTCCTACATCAGCGACTCAGACGAAACGAGGGACATTGAGCCTGGTGATCGAGCAACCTTGCAGGTCTATCCGGAGAAGTAGATGCCAACGATGATATAATTTCTCAGTATAATAGAATTGGCAAATATACAGCATGGAAATATATATGAAGGGCAGTATGTAGACGAATGATGAAACGCCACTGCATGCAGGCAAGATCACCAGGCAATTGCTTGCATGCATTGATTCAAAACTACCCTGCAAACGCGATAATGCTATGAAACAGGATATCTCCGAATCAATGATCTTCCCCGGCCATAGTTACCATCCTACTAGACCGACTCACCCAATCATGTCGCACCATCAGCACATATGATGGAATCATCACCACCACATGCGCAATGCATATCAACCCACACGCTGCAGGAGAAACTGCTACGCAGTCACGTACAGAAGCATCCCATTATGCTAGCAGGTCGCGAATATTGTGGAGATAATGACGAATCACGTCGTGGAAATATCTTATAGCAGCTGTTCCCCGCGCGAGTCTTGCGTGATGACACCAAGCAATGGCGAATGGATGCGGGGTCATGGAAGCTACGTGCTTCCCATTGAAGAGATGAAAGAAGGATTGTGTATATCTACTGTCGGCACGTTGGATCAGGAAGCTCAGAGTCGACAGAAACGCTCCAAATCTACAGTCAAAATGGGAGATAGCGCGGGTAGTGCATCTGGCCAGAATGGCAAAAAACACATTCTGCTGAATGCGTTTGATATGAGCACCGTGGGGCATTTATCCCCCGGGCAATGGAAAGTAAGAACGGATCTAATTGCTTCCTGCGCCTGACTGACCTGGATTGTGCACAGAACCCCAATGATAAATCCGCCACGAAGCGCACCCTAGAGTACTGGATTGAGCTGGCGAAGCTTCTCGAGCGCGGCGGAATCAACGCGCTGTTCCTGGCTGATACCTTTGGAGGACACGACACGTACCAGGGGAAGCTCGACGAGTGCATTCGCCGGGCGGCGCAATGGCCCGTGACTGATCCGTCGATTGTATGTCTTTGCCAACCCTGGAGAACAGTGTATGTGGGATACTGATGTGACTACGCAGCCCATTTCGGCAATGGCAGCAGTGACGAAGCATCTGACCTTCGCGATCACCTCGTCGACCTCCTCGGAGGTGCCGTTCCTGTTGGCCAAGCGGTTCTCGACACTGGACCATATGACGCAGGGCCGGTTCGGATGGAACATCGTGACTTCGTACAAGAAGGCAGCCTTCAAGGCTATCGGGCTAGACAGTCCTATCGAGCATGATGAGCGGTACCGGCAGGCGGACGAATACCTGCGCGTGCTGTACAAGTATATCAACCAGTGATTTGATTGATGACGACAATGGCTGACCAGCACAGACTGTGGGAAGGCTCTTGGGCCCCGGACGCCGTCTCCCCGGACCCGGCGACAGACTCGTACATCGACCCGGACAAAGTGCGCACCATCAAGCACAAGGGGAAATACTACACGCTTGAGACGCCGCACATTGTCGACCCGTCCCCGCAGCGGACGCCCTTTCTCTTCCAGGCGGGCACGTCACCAGCGGGCTCGGAGTTTGCTGCCACGCACGCCGAAGCGATCTTCGTCTCGAGCCACTCGCCGGCGGTGCTGCGGCCCAAAGTCGATGGGATTCGCCAGCTGGCAGCGGCGAAGGGGCGGGATCCGCGCTCGATCAAGATCTTTGCGACGTTTACGCCCATCCTGGGACGGACGGACGAAGAGGGACAGGCCAAATACGAGGAGCTGAAGAAGTACGCGTCCGTGGTTGGGGGTCTCGTCCTCTTCAGCGGATGGACGGGCATCGATATCTCGCGGATCCCGCTCGACCAGGAGATCACGGCGGCGGACTCGGTCGAGGCGGGCCGGATCGCGAGTATCCTGGACGCGTTCACGACCACGAGCAAGGACATCCCGCGGTGGACGCCGCGAGTGGTGGCGGAGAAGGCATCGATCGGCGGTCTGGGCCCCGTGGCGATTGGCAGCGCGGCGACCGTTGCGGACGAGATGGAGCGGTGGATCGCGGAGGCGGATCTGGACGGGTTCAACATCGGCCATGTGTCGACGCCGGGGACCTTTGAGGATGTCGTCGAGCTGCTGGTTCCGGAACTGAGGAGGCGAGGGCTGTACCCGGAGCAACCGGCGCAGGAGGCAGACGCCCTGACGGCGCGCGAGCGGGTGTACGGGAAGGGACAGAAGGGGCTGCGCGAGGATCACCCGGGCAGTCGATACAAGTACGATGTATATGTAGATGATGCATGAGCATAGTACTCTTGATGACGAGGTAGACTGCTCTAAGAGTGAACAGTCCGGTCGCGGTATCGAGATGTTGTGCCTCAATCACCAGGTTCGAGATTATGCAGATATCGTCCCAGGAATGTATACCACTCGATACTCCATACTTGTGCAGATGCGGTGATTGTCCCTGTTGATCTGAGGGTAAGTCTAGACTGGTCTCGCCAATCCAGACTCAGCAGTTTGCAGGTTGACTGGTATTTTCAAGCCCTTTCTCGTTCTTCCATGCTTTTGCACAGTCTTGTCCTTGTTCATTCCGCTCAATATGAATGACCTCTCAATTTAACCAACTATATACAGGACGTCACTATGCCCAAAGCCAGCGAATGATTCCAGCAAATGCAAAGACCAGTCCAGCCGCCTTCCGCGCTGCGACGTCGTCACATTGCGACGATTCCCCCGCTGGATCCTTGCATGATGCAGGAGTCCCAGCTGGCCAGTCCACAGGGCACAGTCCATACTCCACAGTGGACGAACACCGGTTCGACGGGCTTTTAAATACTTATCTATTCCTACGAAGGATACTACGGAGTATATAATAATATCCGTCTTCGCGTAAGATAATCCCGTAGAGATGATATTCCACTTTCGTCTAGTCGGACATTGCTTAAGTCGAAGGAAAGTATTACATATGTATATGTATAACTAGAAATAAACAGACGGGGACTGACCGTTGAACCCTGCAGATAATAATACCAACTAACGGTCGGAAAAGAGTTACGTCTACTATGGAGACACTACTGTAGACACAGCGTACACAGCGCACGGAGTCCATTTCCATGAGTTCTCTGAATTCATATGCATCATATGTCGGAGCGACGAGCCGGTAATAGACGCAAATAGCTGTGACTGGCCGTAGCTTAAATCACCACCACCAGACTCTAGTAAAGCATAAACTGTACTTTAGTCGCTAGCTTTAGTCCTCTGATGGTGGTTTCTGCTAGTGCTTGCTCTGTTGTCTAACTCGATTACCTAGCACTGTGATAGGTCCAAGCCGCGCGTTCTGAGCTAGTGTGCTCGTACGTGCATACGACTACGGCTGGTAGCCTCGGTGTGTCTGTCCTGGCCAGCAGGATTAGGCATTTTCCACGAGTAAATTAGGTATGTGATTGGTTTTTGGGATCTGTAGGAAGAAATCAGATCAGAACAGCTGGGGTATCGGTTATTCTAAGATCTGAATTAAGTGAGGACATGTGCATATATACGGAGTACAGATAGTCTGGAGAGGCACACATGAAGGGCTGTCGGTTAAAAATGGATATGAGAGGGTACCCCGTTCTCCGTACCTTGGGGACCACGGAGCATTTCCCAGTCAAGTAGAGCTGCAAACCTCCGGCCGAGATGACAAGTCATTGCAGTAGCCTGATAATAAGGCCTAGGGTCAAGGGTCAAGGGTCAAGGGTCAAGGCCCGGAGTCAAAGCAGTCTGACCTCGGATGATCCGAAACGGTCATCACTGATCGCTGGTAACTCATCCGAAAAGCAGGATGGATGTGGCGGTTGCACAGTGCACTGCCCCTACATTGTTAAAAGCCAAAACAGCCTCAAGGCGTCAAGGCACTGGTAGGGACTTGGTACATCTGGTAATGTTCAGGCCACCTGTCACACTGACCGTGGCAGCCACCCCGATCTCCTTCGACAACGCCCCCCGACTCCGACAGATTGGTGCTCCCGGTAGTTACTCATGGGGCTTAGCCTCATGGGCCACCCGTATTCCTATCTACTAGTACCTAGTCCATAGGCTCTATACAAGAAACGCAGAGTTACGATTTAGGTTCAGCTGAATTCTAACGGGTCTGCTCCATCCACAGAACAATCAATACCTCAAGTACAGAATTACAGAATAAATGAAATAATAAATAAGAACTCTGTCAACGTATCGGGGTCCGTTCAAGCTAACTGTATTAATCCTAGGCACGGGACAAAGAGGCTAAGAGGCTAGTCTAGAGCTTGAGCCAAGAGGCCCGAGACCGGATTTGCCAGCGCTGATTCGCTCAGTCCTCGGCTGCGTCTGTGTGAACCATGGGATGCTGGCCTGTGGTCACCGGGACGAAGGCTGGGGCTAATCATGTGACTGTATGTCTTTCTTTTTTCTTTTCTGTGTCTGGTTCGACCACCAACCGTTATCCAGACTATCTGCATCAGATCATATACTCACTGGTTGGATAACTCTATTCCCATCCACATACAGAGTAAAATGAAGTGAAAAAGAAGAAAGTCAATATTCAATAATGTGTGTGTCAAAACTTAGCGGAAGCAAGCGAGTGGACGGACCACAGCTGCAGGCTGCAGGCCGACAGGCAGAGTAAGCCTGTGGGTCCCTCCGAGCTAGGTTTGGATGTACTAGTCCTAGAATGGAATAGTCTGCACTTTAGGAACGGGTAGTGAGATTTGGCTGAAAGGGCCCAGGCAGCCTGGCTGGGCAGAGAAAAATCCGTTTCCTCTGGCGCGCTCGCTTCAGGCTACCCAGATTGTCATGAAGCTGGTCAGGTCGTCTGGCATCTCGTATTATTGCTGGACCTCTACGTACTAGTACGGAGCAAGTCTGCATTGATTATTTGTGGATGTCTTATGGTAGTCCGTCCAGCGGTGTTATCTCAGGTGACCACCTAACCTCGGGTGATGCCGCGTGGACATAACTAGCCAATCAGATGGGACAATTCTTATTGCATGGGTAGGCGAACCAGACTCGGGGATGCGTTTGCCTGGGACATTTGCCCTCCATGATCTGGTCGAAGATGATGAAGATGAAGAAGATGAGGATGGTGATGCGCCAGACTTGCGCAATCTTAGAAGAATCCTTGGTCGGCGCAATATGCTGGAATTATCGACCGCAATCCAGAGCATTCTTCCAGTGGGCTAATTAAACATGGTCGGTATGACTGGTATTTCCACTGGGCCATACACACAAGCCCGCCACTTAGAAGAGCAGGATGACATTCTGCCTCAGCTTACCCAGTAGTATGATCGAGACGACGATGCCTTTCATTTGGATCCGAAAGATACTGATGACTTGATTTCCATGATGAAGCAATTGATTTGGCTCACTTCCATGCTCTCAAGAACTGTCAATCTGGGCTGTTGACGCAAGGAGCATTGCCCCTTTTCACCGTCTGTATCTTACCGTACAGAGGTACCCGAGTGGTAATCTCATACTGAGAGTCTGTCGCTGTCAATGCTCGTGTCTTTGCTTTTTCCCTCCCCTGAAGACTTAAGAGAATCCAGGAGCTTCAGAGCTGATCTTCAGAATCGTACCTTTACTGTAGATCAAAGTACGTACAGTCTTGCAATCGATCGTCCATCGCTGCTAAGCTTATTCTCTGCTCCACCATACAGGAGACTTGAGCAACATCCCCTGCTGGTCCTGGTCCGGTGGCCATCCGATCATCGACAGCTACTCCACATATCTGGTACTTTGACTTACCTTAGGCTTACAGATTTACAGTACGGCGTACGGAGGCTTGCCCATACAACAGAGAATGCGATCTTTCAACGACGACTCGTACTTGTTGTTTTCGACAGCGATTGATGCTTATCGACCAATCATCGTAGGGTGAGCTCTTCGATCGATGTGGTCGGCTGGTCGCACTGGAACGAGAATAATACCAGATTACCCAGATACCTTACGCACACTCCGTAGAGCCGTGGAATGATCAGAACAATGGGGCAAATTGAGTGGCACTGGTTACTACCTTAGGAGTAGTCTCCAGTCTAGTCTAGATACTGTTAACCTGGTTGCTGGTTCGTTTGTGGCCATCTCTTGGGACTTGAACTTGGAGAGCCCTGTCAACCACGTTGCTGATGATCGGTCCCCAGTCCCCTCTTTGACTGAAGTGACGATTATTATTAGCCAGGAGATATCTCCTTTCGACCTATCTATCTCACTGTATCTATTCTTATTCCTTGTGATAGTGCGGACTTTCTTTTTTCTATCAAACACTCATCTTCCCCTATTCTTCTGCTAGAGGACGCATCATTCTCAGCTGAAGCCCACTCTCGAAGCAAACCTGAAATAATCAATTTGTCCCCTTAAGCTAGCTTTTCCAGGTAAACCTCATTCTTTCTTCGTTTTGTCGCCATCTATTTTAGTTTTTCCTTTTTTTCCTTTTTTTTTTTCCCTTCATTTTTTGGGTCATATTTTTTCTTTTTCGTTACCCTTTTTTTTAACCCCCCCGAATTACGGAGGAATTAATATTATTATTTTTATTATTTTTGCACTTGACCCTTTCCAGACGACCACCCAAAATTTCCCGCCCGAAATTCCTCCCCCGCGCTGGCCAGACCCAGACCAGTCGCTGGTTTTGGCCGTAGAGTGGTCTGGATACTCGCGCTCTTTGGTTTTGGTTTTGTTGTTGTGCTTGTTTCTTCTTCATTTCATTTATTATTTGGTCTGGTCTGTCTGTCTGGCTGGTTTGGTCTTGTATTTTATTTTATTTTATTCCCATTGCTGGCTGTTATTATCCTCTACCTTATATTATTCTTGTTATTATTATTTACCGGCGCTGGCTCTGCCTCTTCGTTTCTTCCCTTTCCTCTCTTCCACTCTATCTATCAGTGCCCTCCAAATAATACCACGATCTGAGCACTTTCATCGATTGCCGTCACCATCACTCACGACCACAGTCTCCTCACCCCACGATCATCCTCCCCACGATAGTCTTTCTGCCTTTTGCTGATTCCCTGTCTGATCCGTCGTCGTCAGGAATCGAGTCCATTCGCGCATCCTCGATCGCTGATTATTACCAAAGATAGACTTGGCCGCCGTCGTATTCCTCTGATCGCGCGGTCGGCTTTGTCAAGACAATGCATGTCTCTGACGCCTGGTGAATTTCAAAATACCATCAGCTCCATTGCCTCTACATCCAATATCTGCTCTGCGCATTTTCAGGCTTGCGCTGTACAGTCTCAACTTGATACAAGAGGTCAGAGTATGTCCTCGGTATAATTGTTGGGTGACCCTGAACATCAGTCGGGTACACTATCACATCAGTCCAACTTCCCAAGGCCAGGAACGAGAGAGCGAACGGGATTCTCAAGTCAACCGAGACGGGCCGTCAATATAAGAATCAATATATCTATTTGACGCCAAAAATCTCGATTCTTTAAAGCGATCGCTCTCGCGCGATCCGCTCGCCCCTCCTGGATCCCCCAGACATCGTCTCTGGTGCCCTGTCTGGCAGTCGATTCTGGGCTGTTGGGGACGACAACGGATTGTCCTCCACTCTGTCCCATCCTCCGGCCGCGGACTCGACGGCCGAGCTGTACCAACCCCTCGCCTTTTCTCGAGACACCTCCGCCAACCTGGCTGCCCTCGCGATCCCTCCGCCGGGCATGGGGACGGCGCTGGGCGACTTGAATGCCCCGCCGCCATTGAACGCACGGCGGCCGGCGGCGCCCACGCTCCCCAGCTTTGAGCTGCCCCCGCCGAACTTTCAGATCAACGTCGGGACACCCAAGTATCCGCTTCAGTCGAATGCGCACCATCCAACCCATCCCAGTGTGAACAGTCTGTTGACACCGCCGGCATCGACCCAGGCCGGCGAGGTGACCGCTCCCAGCACGGCCGCGCCGACGAGCACCGTGTCTGCGGGCCCGGACGTGACCCCCTCGTATGGAACGGCGTACTGGTCGGGGCACAGTGGCTATGGGAGCACTCCTGGCGGCGCTGCGCCGCGTCAAMCGTGGAGTGCGGGGACCAACCAGTCATATCCGACGCGGGACTCGTTTTCACCGTCAACATTAAACCCACTAAGCCGAAATCCACCAACGTCTCCTCCCGTGACCGAAGGCATGGCACAGCCGTACGACATGCACCACCTTCCTCCGTTCCAGCAATCGCTTTCCGTTCCTCCGTCAGGCCTGGCGGCCGCAACACCGCAGCATCCCGCCATGACGCACGCCATGTTGGCCAGTCCCACGGGATTGCCCAACCCAGGGCCGTCTCCGCACCTCCTCCCCTCGAATGATCCCTATGGACCCAAATCGCAGTCGGCACCCGTCTACGGTGCAGCACAGCAGATGCACAGCCCGCACCAGACCAGTTTCCCGCCGTACGGACAGCCGGGGCTCGGCATCCATCCGCCGGGTCGCGTCTCGTCCACTCCTACCCTCTCGGCCGGAGGGCCACCACCTCACCTGAGCTATTCGCGGCAGCCCTGGCCGTCGTACTCGCTCCCGGCGATGAACGGGCCGGTGATGACGAACATCCACCATCCGAACAGCCAAATGTCGCTACTGGGCAGCATGCAGCCGGGCATACTCCCGGGCTTCAACAGCGGCCACGTGGCCAGCATGCAGCAGATGTACGGCGGGCATCCGCCACACCCCATCCATCAACCGGGGCCGACCAACGACCGGCCGTTCAAGTGTGATCAGTGTCCGCAAAGCTTCAACCGGAATCACGACCTGAAGCGACATAAGCGCATTCATCTGTCGGTGAAGCCGTTTCCATGTACGCATTGCGACAAGAGCTTTTCCCGCAAGGATGCATTGAAGGTATTTCCCCTCTATCTTTTAATTCTCTCTGTTCTCGCGCTGACTCTTTAGCGACATATTCTGGTCAAAGGATGCGGCAAGGACGGGTCGGACGGGTCGAATAAGACGAGCACAGCGAGTGTCAAGGAGGAGGACAAGGAGAGCATCGATAGCAATGGGCACAGCTGATCAGTTTTCTACGAGCATTGTTCTCAAGGCGTTGAGTAGGGGACTAGCGATGATTTCGAGTTTGTCTTCCATCTCTATCCATTTCTATCCATCTATCTATTGTTGTTGAACGAGGCTATGGCGAATGTTGATATTATTGCGTATGGAGCGGCTTATTTGCACCTAACTCCTTGGTATGGGTTTTGGATGGTTATAGCGTTGACTGTGTAGATTACTCTTATTCCTATTCCTTACTCACTTATTCACATCATTCACATCACCGAGACAATTGCTATTAGTCTGAGTCATCGGCACCACGCGTGTCAGGCTGACAAAGAACAGTGCAACTAGTCCTTGCAACTACGAACACGAACAAAGAAGACATAAATACCTGCCAACATCCAAGATACGACCCTCACATCAAACCTCTGCAAATCTCTACAATGTTCCTCCTACTAGGTTTTCTTTCTCTGGTCCTCGCCCAATTACCCCCTGTCCCTTTCTATAACATCAACATCCCCAGCGCTCCATCCCCCAACCTCAGCACCGCCACCTTCACCACCCCCTCCACCCTCCTATCGACCCTCTCCAAACCCAAGGTCCACCCGATCAACACCACCGTCTTCGACTGGTGGTACTTTGACGCCATCTCCTCTTCGAATCCGAACGTTTCTCTCGTCGTCACCCGCTTCACCAGCACCCGCGCCGCGTTTCCGTTCCTCGTGCCCGGAAATACCTCCTCCGTCCTCCAGTCCTACCTCTGGATCTCCTTCGCCAACGGGACGAGCTACGCTGCGTTCGCGGACGCATCCCTCGCGACGGTCGATGCAGCCGGTGACGTTAATCGGGGAGTATGGCACGGGAGTGGTTTTTCCTGGATTGGATCTGAGAAGGGAGAATATGAGATTGCTATTGACGGAGCAGGGGTGAATGGATCGATGAGGTTATCTTCCGTGAGTCATCCCCCTTCCACTGAGGATAAGCTAAAGCTGAAGCTTGGCTAATGTGTGTAGGTATCGAACCCGCATACACCCTGCGGTGACGACCGGCTGCGTCTGGGTGGTAGTACCGTTGGGATTGGGTGGGCGAGTCTCCTCCCCGATGCGGAGGCGAGTGTTGATGTTTTGGTGGGTGGGGAGAGGGTGCGCTTCACTGGGGTTGGGTATCATGATAAGGTGTGTTTTCTGTGTACGAGTGTGGATGTGGATTGTGAGGGCTACCGGCTAACGGCTGGTGCGCAGAACTGGTCGGATGGACCGTTTGGGGCGGCGGTGCGGACGTGGTACTGGGGCCGGGGCCGGGTGGGCCCGTACTCTGTCGTCTGGTTTGATATGCTTCCTTTTGGAAACGAGACAGAAGTGGTGAGTGGGTATGTGGCTGTTGGACGGGAGGTTGTGGTGTCTAGTTGTGAGGAGGGGGTCGTGTCTGTAAGGCCGACGAGGAATGGGACGGTGCAGAGGTACCCGCCTGTGCTTGGGGACGTGCCGGATGGGTTCCGGGTGGTTTATAGCCTGGGGATGGAGGTGAATGTCACTCTTGGGGCGATGGTCGCTGGGGATGGGAAGTACTATGCGCGGTGGACGGGGACGATGACAGCCGAGGTGGAGGGCGAGCTGTACGAGGGTGTGGGCATATTCGAGCAGTTTGTGATGCAGTAATTATTACAATAGAGTAGATATAAAGCTAAGAAAGTATGGGTATCAGTCACGAGAATTGCCGGCCATCCACTCCTCCACCAACCCCCGATAATCCTCCATGCCATACGGACTCAACACCTTTGTCAAGGTACCGCTCTTCCGCACGCTCCTCACCCCCAGATCCTTCAACAGCAAATCCACATACGGAATCGCATCAAACACAAAGTCCGGGTTCCGCTTCCCAAATCCCCCGGGATACCGCCACCTGCCAAACTGGCTATGCAGCGCCGTCTCCCACACCAGATCCAGGTCCTCGCGCTGCTCCGCCAGCTTGTCCGCATCTGCGTCCTCGTCGACAGCCCGGACGGCAGACGGACACTTCTCCGTCGGCCGGAGAACAGACTTCCCCCCGAAAAACGCAGTAATCCACAGCGCTTGCGCCTGCGCGACCAGTGTCGTATTGATAGTCATCGTAATCCCCATGAACGCCAGCGAGCGCTCCCGCGCCAGCGAACATGGCACCATGAACCGGGCCAGGCGGAAGGGATGCGCGGCCGCGGCGGGGGCGTCGGGCGCGAGCGGCGCGTAGTCCTTGGGCGGGGCGGGCTGGTCGCGCAGCCGGGGGAACCGGCGGAGGATTTCTTTGTCAGCGGCGGCGAGGAGGTCCTCCGGGATAGGGTCCGCGGCCCAGGGGAAGCCGCAGTCCTTGTCTAGGCCGATAGGTAGGAAGTCGAGGTTCGGGGTGGCTTTCCAGCCTGTGGAGCAGATGAGGGCGGAGGAGGGGAGGTCGGTGCCGGAGGAGAGGTGGACAGTGCCTTGGGAGAGGCGGGTGATGTTGGCGACGTGGACGCGCACGGCGCCGGAGCGGACGAGGTCGAAGAAATCGGTTGGGTAGTTGAGGATGCTGAGGCTGGCGGCGATCCAGAAGGGGCTGATCCAGGGCTTGAGCTTGGCGGTCTCCGGGTGGGCGTCGTAGCGGTTCAGCTGGATGACGTCGTTGGCGAGGACGGCCCAAAACGCGTCGACGATCTTGCGGCCGAGCCAGGTGCCGTGCAGGAAGCGGCGGATGCGCGGGTAGCCGTCGGCGTGGCCCCAGATGCAGGGGCTGAAGAAGGTCAGGAGGCGCGTGGTGACCAGCTTCTCGAGCCACTTCTTCAGCGGGGTGACGTACGGCGGCGCCATCCAAACGGGGCCGTGGCCGTTCTCGCGGATCACCCAGTCGACCTGCGCGCCGGACGTGGCGGCCGAGTAGACGGCGTCCCAGGCGGACTTGGTGCCGCCGAAGACGGTGATGCGCCGGCCTTCCTGTAGAACCTCGGCCTCGTGCTGGAGGAGATCGCGGCAGTGGAAGAGCGGCGCGTCAAAGGTCTCCTGGCCGGGGAAGGTGGGCAGGTAGGCCTGCGAGGTGATGCCGGTCGCGACGATGAGTTTGCGCGTTACCATCTCGGTCACTTTATCGTCAGCCTGTTCTTCGGTGCTGACTGTAGTCAACAGCCAGGTGCCGTCAGGACGGTGTTCGGCCGATCGCACGCGCGTGTTGAGCCGGATGCGATCGCGGAACTGGAAACGCTCGGCGAATTTCTCCATGTACTGCTGAATGACCTGGCCGGGGATATGCTCGCCCGGTTGGACGCCAAAGGTCTCGGGGTCCATGGGGAAATCGCTGAATTCGTAGGTGCCCAGCATGTTGTTGGACTTGAGGCCTTTGTACAGCCGGTGTCTGGCCCACACACCTCCAATGGACGAGGCAGCCTCCAGAAGGAGCACATTGCTGGACGGATTCACCTGGAGATAGGTCTTGATGGCCGCGAGCCCACTCCAGCCTGATTTGTTAGTATCTGATAATCAATTTGAGAGGAAGAGCATACCGGCACCGATGACCGTCAAATCGACCGTCTCCATCGTGGGACTCTCAATTGACAGTTCACAAATCAATCAATCGGGGGCAATTGCCGCGTCAATTGCTGCAAGTAAGAATAAGGCAAAGAAGCAGAAAGTGATGTGTAGACGAGGAGTCAGGCAATCAGACAGCGAAGATGGATGATAAGAGCGACAAGTGGACACAAGAGGGTCTGGACTTTTTATTATTAGTCTCTTATAGCCAGGGATTGTGCATGGTTGTGCAGCAGAGACGACAGAGACGACAGAGTCTGAGAGTTGAGCTAGGACAGACTACGGAGATTTTGCATGACGGAAAGGACACGGGCAGCGGGGAATTATTCCTAGCCGCTGGTAGACTGGAGTTACCCGACTAGTGATAGGACTAGGGATAGGAAGACTATATGTGGAGAGACTAGTAGACAGAGCATTGACTTTTGGAGTAAAGCATCGTGGTACAGCATACTCGAATAATCAGTCAATTCCATGTCTAGTCTGGTGGCTTACACAGCTGACTGCAAGTAACAAGGGGTAAAGGAAAGCCAGAGCACAGTTGGACATGAACCTGATGTTTGCACAAGACAAAGTACGTACTTTAGAATGCAAAAGACAATCCTTACTGGACTGGAATTAGTGTGCGCTTAGTGTTTTTAGCTGCAGAACTGGCTTTGTTAGTGTCTGCGAGTGACACTTGTCTGGTCAGTGCATCAAGGGATAACCTAATGAAGAAAAGCATATCAAATTGTGATCACCAGGTAGAAGATTCCATTTCTCTCAATTGCAGAGGATATAAATATCAAATGCTGTCTAGTTACATAATTAGAACCTGCTTGCGGTATTTCACGTGGTGATCAAACACGAGTTATATCAGATCATGTATGGGCCTCGGTCTATGCAGGCAAGACTCAGGACCCATAACGGTTCTTTTAATATTGCAGGGATCATTGACTGATTTTTATGACAATTGACTGACTAGTTAATGATAAGCTGACAAAAACTGGTTCTTCTTCTTTGTTCTTTTTAAATGACCTGTCACTTCTCAATCAAACATCATAGAATATGACACCTCGACTTGATTAGACTCCAGGACACTGACATTCAATGCGATCAGATCAGGATTTCAAAGTCAATCTACTCAAATCTGCGCAAGGAGTTCGTCATCTAACCTCGTTTGACTCTCCTCAACGAGGAATTGCCTCGTTTCTAGCAGCCACTTCCAAGTTCTCCGTCATGGCAGTGCTTCTACTCAGAGGGCTGCTTGCCTGCCTCTTCGGTATAGCTAGTCGTATTATTAGTGCTGTCACTTCACCGATGCTCCATATCCCCCGCCGATCCTCATTCAACAGGAACCGGATTGGTCTTGATGACTGAAGAACAGCTGCCGCGTCTCCACATGGCCTCTGACCAGGATCCTAGTGTGTGTCAAGCGGCCAGAGCATCAGTCAACCGTTCTCGACCTCATCCTGAACAGTGGATAAGATGTGGACACCAGTACTAATGGCAAGAGATAGTTGCCCCCCGTGATTGCTCGCCGTTTCTGCGAGGGATTTGCAGACTCGGACTCTATCAATCAAGGAGTCGTTCAGCCCTGCAAGTTGTCTTTTTACACATCGTCTGTGGCGGGACCATCGGGATCTGACTGTTGCTGTGCTCGAACTATATCTTTCTTGTTTCTCTTCCCCCCGAGGGGCTCTTTTAGTCTTTCAGTCATTGATCTTACACACATTCATTCTCTTGTCCATAACGAGACAGCTGAGACAGCTGCAACAGCTCGTGTGCCATCATGGCCGACAGCTTCACCACCGAAGCCTTTACCCTCCTCGCCCTCGCCATCGTCGTCATTATCCTTCGCATCATCGCTCGCATCTTCACCGTGGGATTCCACAGTTTCCAACTCGATGATTACCTGATGCCTCTGGCCGGAGTATGCCCTATGTCCCTTCCATCATGACATCTACTGACATGACTGATGCAGGTGGTCTACGGCCTCGAAACAGGCGCAGCCTACTGTGTCGGTGCTTGGTGGAAAGGATTGGCCAACAACTCCATGACCGATGCTCAGCGCGCCGCCCTCTCGCCCGACTCGGAGGAATTCAGACTACGAATAGGCGGATCCAAGACGCAGGTGCTGGGCTGGTCGTTGTACACGACCTTGCTGTGGTTGTTGAAGGCGTGCATGGCCATCTTCTACTCGCGCTTGACGTATGTCTCCCCGCATTCTATGGAGATAGACGCTGACACTGACGGTCTAGGGCCGGCCTGATCAATATGCATATCCGGGTGCGGGTGGCCTACGTTGCCATCGGGGTGACCTATCTGACCGTGATCTTGTCGATTCTGTTTGGCTGCCATCCCATGCACAAGAATTGGCAGATATACCCTGATCCTGGCTGTATGTGCTGCTCTCTTGAAAGATTGGTTGCTTATACTGACATGTCAGTACACTGCCAACCCGCCATCTCGCCGATTGATGTCTACGTGACGGTCACGCTGAATGTCGCAACGGATGTATACCTCATTAGCATTCCTACTCCGGTACGTCCCCGTTCCCCACAAATCGACGCGTCTAACATCCGTAGATGCTCTTCAAAGCTCGACTCCCCTGGCGCGAGAAACTCGAACTCTTCGTCCTCTTCTCCGGTGGAATCTTCGTCATGGCGGCGGGGATCCTCCGCTGCGTTTTGATCGTCACAGTAAGTTATTCACCCCAATGCTAAGATTTGGCTAAAACAGCGGACAGGCCGGCGCAAACGGTGCCTCTCAAGCCGGCAGCTGGGCCTGCCGCGAGACTTTCGTCGCCGTGGTCATCGGCAACGCCCCCATGATCTACCCCCTGTTCCGCCGGGCCGCCCGCCGCGCAGGCTGGTACATCAGCTCCCGCAGCCAGTCGAAGAGCTACCCAGCCTACCCGCTGTCCGAAGGCGAGCGCGAGAACACGACACACCACAGCAAGAAGCGCCGCTTCCGGCACCCGCTCAGCATCCCGGACACGCAGTGGCATACTATCAACGACGAGGCGATGATCCTGCCGACGTCGCGGCAGCAGCCGCCCACCTGTACGGCCAGCGGGGGCAGGGACTGGGACGACTCGAGCCAGCCCAGCACGGAGGGGATCAAGGTGGTGCATGAGACGATTATTGAACGGAATGAACGTTGACCTCCAGTCCTTATGTTATGTATGTTGTATATTTGTATATAGTCACGAAGTCAATAATCATATTTCCTCCGATAGTAATTCTTCCTCCTCATCTCCACCTCCTGCTCCACCTGCGGAACCAACACCTCATCCCGGACCAGCGACGCCTTGACTGGATTTCTCGACTGAAAGATAGCAGTCAGCTCCTCGAGCGTGCGCCGCGACGTCTCCACAAACAAAAACCAAATCACCACCAACTCCAGCACATCCCAGAAGATAAATAGCAGGTAATACCGCCACCCGGCCCTCGTGAACGCGATCCCCGTCACAAACGTATTGTAGAAGTTGGCAATGTTAATGAAGAAGTTGTTCATCCCCATCCCCTTCGCCCGCGACTCGTACCGCAGACACTCGACGGGGTACATCGCCTGGTTCGGCGTCCAGCCGGCCGAGTACACGAACCCAAAGATAAAGATCATGGCGATCTGCGCGCGCGCCACCACCGCGCTCTTGGCGATGACGGTGCCGCTGTCATCAACCGTCTCGACGTTTGCGGCGTTCAGCGCCGTGATGATGCTAAAGATGAGGACCATTAGTCCTGTCGAGGTGAGGAGCTGCGCGCGCCGCCCCATCCGGTCTGTCAGTAGCGCGCCGAAGATGGCACCCACGAACTGGCAGACGTTCTGCAGGCCTTGCAGGAGCAGTCGTGTCGAGTTGGAGGTTATCCCTGCGCCGGCGAGCATCTGCGGGTAGTAGTACGAGACGGGGCCGTTGCCGGACCATTGCCCGAAGAAGGCTACCACTTGCTCAGCTTGTCTCCGTCAAGGTGGATGGACACAGGGGAGCTGGGGAGGGGGATACCCGTGAACATAACCAGCATAGAGCGGTAGCGCGTCTCGCGCGAGTTGAACAGCTCGCGGTAATCCCACCAGCGCTTGTCGGCGCCCGTGTTGGAGATATCCTCGACCATCTCGCGGTACTCGAGCTGCACGAGCGGGGCGTTGCGGTCGCCGTCGCCGTGGTACGTGGCCAGCACGCGGATGGCTTCCTCGTGCTTGTCGCGAGACACAAGCCACCGGGGGCTCTGCATCACATCACCATCTGCATCTACAGAAAAAAGAGAAGGAAAATACCTCAGGAATGGTCCAGCAGAGCCCCAGCACCAAGCCCGAAAACACCATCTGCACCCACACCGGGATCCGCCAGCTCATCGTCCCCTCGATCATGCTCGTGCGCCAGGGTATAAACGTCCCCGGGATGCCGCCGGCGAACCACAGCACGTTGTACAGGCCTGTTAGGGAGCCGCGCCACGACGGGTGCGCGATCTCAGACACGTAGGCTGGGCCGGCGGTGGCGGAGGTCGCGACCCCGAAGCCGAGGATGAAGCGGCCGACCATGAAGCCGGCGAGGTTGGTGCAGGTTGCTTGGACGATGGTGCCGATGATGATGAAGAAGGCGCCGAGCGCCATGCCCACGCGTCGTCCTGTGTGCGTTAGCTCGTCCGATAAGTGAAGAGAGGGTAAATACCCCTAAAATCGGTAAACGGCCCAGCGCAGAACGACCCCACGATGTTCCCGATGGTGTAGATGGCGTATACGATCCCCGTCGAGGGCGTGCCGGCTTCCGGATCGAAGCCAAAGTACTCCCGGTACTGGCTGTAGCTGTTGATCGAGCCCATGAGCGAGCCGTCGTACCCGTTGATGCACGAGTTGAGCGTGGCGACCGCAATGGCCCAGTATAACTAATCCTTAGTTTCGCGATGAAGCAAAAGGAAGAAGGCTATACCTTGAACATGTTTTTGCTCCATAGCTTCGGCTTCTGCTGGAAGGTCGCCATCGCCAGGGCGGCATTGTTAATGCCCCGGATGTAGGCGTCATCCGGGTAGTACAGCATCTGCGCTGTGTCGTGGCTATCGAGTCGCTCCATGGTGTCTCAGACGACCAGAGTCCACTAGACAGAGGCTGGGTGGAGGGTGTCCGTTCACTTAATGTATCCTGTACTCGATCTAGATTGTCTGGACAGGGATTCTGGCTATAGCCTGAGCCAGGCCTGTCTGGGTGACAAGTGACAAGTGACATCAAGCCTGGGTTCTGTTCCTGACATGGTGGAAATTAAGACTAATAGACACAGTCTGACCGGAGACTTGACGAATTGCATATCGACGGGGATATTGCCATGTTGGTCGTCATTCCAATGCCAATTGTGCCATACACGGAGCATGAGACAGCATCAACACTTGGAGTGTTTGATCTAGACGAGGTCTGGGGACCCCGCATCGAGTGTCCCAGTCTCTTGCAACGGATTCAGCCTGTGGATGAATTCATCCGTCTCCAATTGGGAATGTTAGTGCTTTAGTCGGGTTTAAAACGGTCAATGCATGGACTTGAGCCACATGGTGGGGAGGGATGCACTAGAATCGACTTCAATCTATTGACAGAATTAATAGAGTGATTCTAGGAACCTCGTGGAACTATTAATTACAGCGCCACATCACCAAGCGAACCCTTGGGAAAGACGCTTGGATCCTGTCTATCTGGACTTGAATGCCTTCATTCGCTTGACTAACTCCAACCAACACGGGCATCGGTCCGAAAACCCGCTCGCTCAGCCTGACTCTTATCCTCTCGATCTTTATGAATTATTATCATTCTGGTAGAAATTTCGTGTTATTCAGAACAACTTGCAAGTTGTAACTCGCACATACTGTGCTGTCAGTACACTCTTAACCACAATTCTACTCCGCACAGGTCCTGTCATGTTTCAGGCATGCTGCTAGCCCGCGACAGAGTAAAGATCGACAGCTCGACATCCTGAAGGGGCAGATTATCCACCAATATCGACCGGGATTCCTCCGTTTCCTTGACCTGACGGACTATCCCCGTGTTGGCCAGTTGGATGTGTCTGAGACCGAGACTAATGCACATCAGCCGCCACACACGACTCAGTCCGATACAGGCTGAGGCATCCTTCAATTGCCGTGCTGGACAATGCAGGTACACTCATTCTCAATGCCCGATGCTCAATTGCTACCAGGAATAAGCAGTACAGAAAACTGGTATCATTCATCTATCATAATATACATAGTTGCTACAAATACATGCAAGGCCATATCAACAAGCCATCGCCTCAAAGATTTCCCTCCTCTCCTGCGGCGTAATGGACAAACTCAACGTATAATACCTCCCCTGAATCAACTCCGACTCCCCGCTGGGGTCTCCGGCCAACACCAACCTCGTCCCCCCAGCATACGGCACCGCAAACCACACCGGCTCCCCTCGCCGATCCGCCCCCTCCCAATATTCCATGTTACACGACATGCTACTCCCGTACAGCAGCGGATTGAACCCATTACACACCGCCTCCGGGATATGCAGCACGTCCTCCAGCACGATAACATGCGAGCTGGCGCCCCCGTCGCGCACCGTCCGGCAGACGCGCAGCTCGACCGTCCCTACCCCGGCTACCTCGAGCTCCTCCTGCGGATTGAAGATGTTGTTCTTGACGCGGGTTCGGTGCGGCATCGCCCGGTAGTGTGTGAATGAGGCGCGGTCGCGCGCGTAGTGGCAGTTCCCCGAGACGATCATCCAGTCGTAGCAGATGCGGGATGCGGCGTGCGTCGTTTTGGTGCGTTTGCACCGGTCGTCGGTCGCGTCGGCGGCGTCGAGATCGAGGGCGAATTCGTCGTGGCTGCGCATGGTGCTCTGCTGTGCTGCTGCTGCGACGGTAGATGTTAGCATGCGCGACGTGAGTTGGGGTAGCGGACGTCTTCCGTACGGGGTCAATTGATCTAGTGCAGCGCGTGTGCGAGGTTGGTAAGTATTTGGTAAGTATGCGCAGTCTGGACCGTGTCAATTGCAACAAGATCAGCGGAAGAGATTGAACTGAAACAACCGTCGCGGCGGATGAGGCCTGTTGCTGGAAGCGGAAGACGGGCAGTATCTCTCGAGAGGAAGGCGGTAGAGTTGCTGGCCAATCATGGATGAGCGGTGTGCGGCGTCGGATACACTCCGTCCATGGCGCTAACTGTTTCAGGCAAATGGCCTTGTGTGCTTTCCAAGAGGTCACACTTTGTGCAAGAGAGGTATAAGGATATGACGTGGGGATAGATGTGAGTATTGTCTGTTGTCTGAGGTAGAACCCAGCGTTGTACCGGTTCAACAGAAGTAGCCCATAGGAGCAGAGAGGATCATTTAGATTTCTGCTTCTAGAACCGAAGCCATCTTGTATGCTGGTATACCTACAATTAACAAACGTTCTGGTACTTATACTATGCTCCAGACCAGCTGATATATGGCCGAATCATAAGTAACTCGTCGCGACAAAGCAAGAATCTTGGAACGCTGGATAAGCCTAATGGAGGTTCCTTGGATATGCATCTTCTCTGAAGATATCACTGTAATTAGTTGTGTAGCCTAGAAATGACCTATTCAATGGTGATGTCCCTAAAGTTTGTCAATTGACAGCTTACTGGAGTTCAAATCTCTGTGAGAGCGTCAACCTCTCCTTAACAGAGACTCGAGACTTGAGAGACAACTCGAGGGTTCTTGTCGCAGTACAAGGGGTGGCAGTGGAATCTGGATTAGTGCAATTGTTGGACTTTGTCCAGTATCCATGTTGAACAGTTGTGGGTCTCTTCATGTAGGAAGGACCCCATCCGGCTTCGGAGAAGAGTAAAGAAGTATGAAGAGACCGCCCGGAAATGAGGTAATGCTTCACCCCACCGGGCTCACCCCACAGCAAATCAAGCATGCCATTGTTCGTCCATAAAGCTGCTTCTCCTGCTCCTGTCTTCCATTTTCGCATCTTCTCGCTGTGTGCGTGTCGTCTGTGTTGTACAATACCTCGTTTATCCTCTGTCCGCACTAAGCTGGCAAAGGGGAAGCGCAAAATCCGAGGATTGACTTTCCTGTGGTCGGAGCCACTTGCCCTTTTCAATACGGATAGGCGGCCCCGGCAGGCTTGCATGAGGATGGAAGCCATTCAGGAGATGTAAACGGTCGCGATATCAGATGTCAATCTGCATGCATCCCATCTCGCCAACCATATATGCGGTGAGTGCGCGGCGGCCAACCGTATATTGCAGTCACAGGATAATGCGCTTCTGCCGCTGCTGGGACTATGTTCGCTGTCTGGAATTAGGTTGAGAAACCCTCTCCTACCTAGGATTCACTGGGTGGACGATTATTCCTGCTATTCTTGCTGTACAAGTATAGCGAGGGCATAAAGCGGTAAGGGATGCATGACTTGTATGGCCTTGTGAAGTAGGGAAAGTCATGTGCAAACCCTATCTGGACAATCCCAGTCTGAACGACCGTGTCCATGCCGTGATGTGGAATTAGGCAGCAGGGCAAATCCCGGACAAATCCCCGAGGTTGAACTAGCGGTGTTACGTGGGGGCGGAAAGCCCATGAAGAAGGGATGGAGAACAACGGAAGGTCCAACCCTTGAGTGAGCGACACCGCTGGGGTGAAGTGATGTCAAGCTGCAGATCTTGGTCTTGGCCCTGATCCCTGAATGCGGGGTCTATTTCATCCAGAGCAGGATAATGTCATTCTGATGATATGGTAGTGATTGTCCTCTGTTAATGTGGTGTTGCCTGCACATCCAAAGCTAGATTACATAGTTGAAAAGGAGGAAATGCTCTCAGTTTGTTTTTAGCTTCTGCGTTACTAACCAGATGGGGATCTAGTGGTAAGTTAGATCTGGCTCCTTCCGAATCCGGAATGTCCGACGCTATGGTCAACATGAACCGCGAATCCTACTGTACGACAGAACGATGAGTAGAGCCTTATCTAACATAAGTATGCATGTCGCTGGGGTTTAAGAGTGGCGGAAACAAATTCCTTGAGACATTCATGTGTCATTGTGAGTTAAGCGAGGTAGTAGCGCAGATAGTCGTCTTTTACAGACAAGGAGGACGAGCCGATTGACCAAAAATGAAGATCATTAAGCTAGTAAATGTCGTGTGAGCAAGGGACAAGTGGCCATTGACGCGTACGAGTAGCAGTCGCATTATATTGCTCAATCAGGAGTAGACTGTAGTAGTCGTACTAGATATTACTTGCCAGGGGGGATCCACATAAATCCAGAGTAAGCAGATACAATGCCACGGCCGCGGATTTTGATCGCAAGGCCCCACAGTTCATCATCTACCCCTTTGAGATACCGACGGTTTGGGTTTGGATGGATCACGTCAGTCGATCATGAAGACCAGAAGTTAAGACAGCCGGACCTGTAGATCTGTGGAAACTGACCATAGCTAAGTAAGTGGTTGTTACTATGGATGAAAAGTAGAACTACCAGAACAGCATTTCTCTATCAAAACGCCATGCCATATATGTCTTAAAACGTGCCTGTTGATATCACCTAGAGTAATCTAGAAACTCTGTAGACTCGGTAGTTATTTGTAATGCCGCCTAAGGCTCCAACTTAAGGTTTAATAGTCAGTTGTAGGCTTCCACGGAGTAACCTTCTGTAAGTTCTACTCCTAAACTTGCAACTGTAAGGGCAAATCTGTGGAGACCCAGGAGGACAGAGTACAGGCTACAGAGTCAGAACACTCTAGTGGCTGGGAATAATTTCCAGATGTAATCAAAAAAAAGCAACGCCATTCCCTTTCCGGCTAGGTCCGGGTGCTTCAGCTGCACCGGAAAGAACAGGGACCAATCATTGCTCGTATAAAGCAGTCCAGCTGAAGCCGGGAGAGCCGAGCGAGGACCGAACAGCTGCACCAGGAGAAGCAAACAAGCACCCTGATTGCTGGAAATAATTGCCGGGCAATCTGCAGGCTCTGATTGGATGCGACGTCAGACTGTACCGTCCAGGTCTGGAACACCCGAAACAACCAAAACAATATGATCCTCACTGAACCAGTCTTGTCTGCCTGCTCCAATGCTCCTGTGTGCCAGAGGTATCCATAGTTATTCTCCGATCGGACGAGTCCAAATGCTCGACCCCTCTGATATCGGGGACGCCAGTATGTCCTTGTGGCATCTCATTGGCTTTCCAGCATGCATGTTTGATGTCAGATCCAGAACATGAGGGCATACCCAACTTTCCTATAAGAACCCCAGAAGTACCCTCTCCCCCCCGCCCGCGCGCCGTTTGCCTTCTCTCGACCGGTTCTCTTACCTGGCCCTTCTTCTGACGCGAGATTTATGTCCGACTCGCCTTACCCGTCATCTTCTCGTCCTCTAGCCCCTGCTCCAGGCCGCCTTCTGAAACGGAATGCCTCATCCGAAGAGTTGGTGCCCGCGCGAAAGCACAAAACCACCGCTTGCAAAGCGTGTAAACGCAAGAAATTAAAAGTCGGTGCTTTTTCCCAATTTACCGGGTTTGAATTCTCATCAGGCTCACCATAACAGTGTCGCGGAGATCCCCCATGTCAGCATTGCGTCAGCCATGGCATCAAATGCGAGGTTGACGCAATGTCCGACATGCGCCGGAAAAACGCCATGGACCGCAAGGTGGCAAAGCTGGAGAGAGTAGCCGACACGTTGACTCGGCTGGTCAACGCTCTCCGCGACAGCGAGAGTAGACGAGTCTCGCAGCTGTTGAATCTAATCCGAAGTAATGCCTCGTTCGACGAACTCCAGCTGTTCCTGGAGCAGCAGTTTTCCCACTACGAGTTGGAGTCGACCCCCGAATTGCGCGATATCCAGAGCCAACTCTCCCAAACGACGGACATTGCACCCCTGGGATGGCGCTACCTACGAGTCGATCGGCTGGCCGACGATCCGGTGTACAAGGTCCCCGCGAAGCCTTGGACGGCGGTGACGGACGACAGCGGGCTGGTGTCACATCTGGTGTCGCTTTGGTTAACCTGGACATATCCCTGGTTTAACTGGCTGGATGCCGATTGTTTGATCAAGCATATGCAGGAAGGAAAGCTGAATTCTCGGTTCTGCTCCCCTTTCCTGGTCAATGCCATTCTTGCAGAAGCATGTGTACGTCGATGCTCGCACGGATGACAACTTTTTTCATTTCCTGATTCGTGTACAGTATTACTCCGACTACGAAGAAGTATTTACCGTTCCCGGCGACATGCTCACCCGAGGCGATCAATTCTTCGACGAGGCACGTCGTCTGTTCGAGGCGGGCGAAGACGAAGGCGACTCTCCGAGCCTGCCGACTATCCAGGGGCTCATGATCTTATTCGTTCGGTAAGACGGTCATTCGATGCGAAACAGGAACCTTCCCTGACATTATCAGAACCACGTTGATGGGCAAAGATCGAATGGGGTGGGTCTATCTGGATCTTGCCGCCCGTGGAGCCCAAGAATATGCTGCGTCTCATCCACCTCACGCGATGGAAGATGCGGAAGAAAGAAGGGCAATTGACAGGACCCTTTGGGGCATTTTCAGTATGGCTTCGTATGTTTTACAGACCCCTGCTCCGGCCATTCAAGACGCTGACTGTCCAGAACGGCGGCCGTCTCGCTGATGAAGCATTTTGATATCCACCCTCCCCAACAGTCCCCCATTACTCGTATCATCCATCAACGGCATAAAGATGATGTGTGGCAGCCGTATCCGCGGTCGACAGACGCCGGGGTCCCCAGCCATATCTCCTGTGTGTTCAACCGGTGGTGCGCGATCGCCTGCATCACCCTTGAAATCTCCCGCGCCTTCTTCCAGCCAGAGGACCGGATCCCTCGAGCCGAAATGCTCCCTTTCATCAATAATATTTACCAAA